AATCCAACTACAAGGTCTAAAACGTACAAAACCGGAATAATGAACAAAGAGAGAAAAGCGGTGCTGCGAACGCTGGCAGTCACCTCGTTAACTCCTATAACTCTGCCTCTGATCAGCCAAAACCCGCTGCCGGGTGAATAAATACCTGCATCTGCACGCGAGGTGCAGGGAGTAAAGTGAGTACTCCAACTCAGTGAGTAATAAAGGTAAATAACAACTGAGCAGTAAGAAATCACGTAAAGCAACCAACATGTTGTATAGAAGCAGTGTACAATCCTTTGAGAAAACAGTGAAACTGTGAAATCTTTAGAAATATCGTGGCTCAGTTTAAACCTCTTTAGAAAATGATCTTTTCAACAGTTACGAAATGATTTCAAACAGTTGGTGCCGATAAACACAGAAAATCCACCCCTCGGGCACAAATACCACATAACAGGTAAAATGACAAGCAAATAGGAAAGATGAACACATGAAAGTTCGCCCCTCGGGCAATATCTCAGAACAGTACCAGCCCCTCGGGCTACCTCACAATCACTCGTATCAGCCCCTCGGGCTACCTCACCATCACTCATATCAGCCCCTCGGGCTCACTCTCAGCATAGTATCAATCACTCAGAACAATGGATACCCACGCTCACTGTGGGTGTGCAGACTCCGGAGGGGCCCCTTACGGCCCAAGCGCTATATCAAGCCACCTCGTGGCATCATCACTCGGCACTCGGCCTCACATCACTCGGCACTCGGCCTCCCATCACTTGGCACACGGCCTCACATCACTCAAGTCACCTCGTGGCATATAAATGTATCTCTGGCCCTCGGCCTCATGTCACTCAGCATATCCTCACATATGGCCCTCGGCCTCACTCAGTCCGAAAATCATCACAAGCCTCTCGGGCATTTGTAAAATAGTAGTCCTCAGCCCAAATCATCATTTAGAACTATCATTTAAGTTTGAAATCTGAGTAAAAGTGGCCGAGTTTATAAAACAGTAGATATCAACAGGATTGAGTTCAAGTAATGAGTCAAAACAGTGAGGAAATAGTGATAAAAAAAATCCCCGAAGGGTTCAAATAATTGGCACGAAGCCCAAATATGGCAATCAGCCCAAATCATGATAATAACAAATAAGTTTTCAGTCAAATATACGGTAAAATCATCAATCGGGACGGACCAAGTCACAATCCCCAGTAGTAAAAGACCCCACGCTCATCATCCAGCGCGTGTCTCACCTCAATATAGCACTACGATGTGCAATCCGGGGTTTCAGACACTCAGGATATCATTTCTAATCATTACTCACCTCGAACCGGCAAAATCCCTAGCTCGCGACGCCTTTGCTCCTCAAATCGGCCTCCACGCGCGTCGAATCCACCCAAAAATAAAACGAATACATCACAATATGCTAAGGGAACAAAGCCCAAGCGAAAACAATCAATAACGGGCACAAATCCCGAAATTACCAAAACTCGAGCCCCGGGCCCACTTCTGGAAACTCAGAAAATTTCACATCAACGGGTTCCTTATCTCGCCACGAGTCCATACATACCAAAAACTCTCAAATCCGACCTCAAATGACCCTTCAAATTCCAATTTAAAAAAAACTCAAAACCCATGCCATAGTTCTTCCCATTTTAGCTAAATTTCCATGAATTTCTAGGTTAATTTCATAACAAAAACGAGTGTTGGGTTCAAAAATATTACCTCCAGGTGATTCCCCTTGAATCCCTCTTCAATTAGCTCTCCCAAGCTCCAAAATCGCTCAATAATGGAGGTTCTTAACCTCAAAATCGCGGAATAGCCTTTTTAAAACATTCTGCCCAGCACTTAAAAATCCTTCTTCGCGAACGCGGTCAACCTCTCGCGAACGCGTAGCACAAAATTGCGTTGACCAACTTTTTACCATACGCGTACGCGACATGCCAGTCGCGAACGCAATGCTTCCACAGCCTTGACCTTCGCGAACGCGTTTGCTCCACCGCAAACGCGATGACTAACTGACCATCAGACCCAATTCCTCCTACGCGTTCGCGTATACACACTCGCGAACACGATGCAGTCCTCATACAAACCTTCGCGAACGCTGCATGGACCCTCGCGAACGCGAAGCTCGCGAACCCCGGCCCTTCGCGAACGCGAGATCCCCTTCGCGAACGCGAAGGCCAAAATGCCTGCAACTGAAACCTGCAATTTCTGAAGTTCTCAAAACATGAAATTGATCCGTTTAACCTCCCGAAACACGCCCGAGGCTCGCGGGACCTCAACCAAAGGCACCAACACACCCTGTAACCTCATTCAAACTTGTTCCAATCATCAAAACACCTCAAACAACATCAAATTACCCAAAACTCATCGAATTCAAGCCTAAGTTTTCCAAAAACTTCCGAAACACGCTTTTGATCAAAAAACCCAGCCAAATCACCTCCGAATGACCTGAAATTTTACACACACATCCCAAATCACACAACGAAGCTACAACAATTCTCGGAATTCCATTCCAACCCTCGGGTCAAAATCTCACCTGTCAACCGAAAATCGCCAAAATACTAACTTTGCCAATTCAAGCCTAATTCTACACCGGACCTCCAAAACCAATTCCGATCACGCTTCTAAGTCATAAATCACCCAATGAAGCTAACCAAATCATAAAAATTCCGATCCGAGTTCATATACAAATAAGTCAACTCTTGGTCAAACCTTTCAAATTCAAAGCTTTCAACTGAGACTGTTCATTCAAATTCATACCGATTTCCGTGAAAACCAAAACCAATGATCTACATCAGTCATAATACATCGTACGGGGCAAGTCATGCCCGAGAACTGGCGACCAAAGTGCAAAAGTTCAAAACGACCGGACAGGTCGTTACAAAAATACTCACTCCAACTCACTAATTGTTTATGACACTTGATTACAAGTAAACGACTTACAACTCTTTAGTTGATGTGTAAAAGGATAGTTCAGAAGTCCAAAGTCGAACTTATTTAAAACACAACTTGAGATCTTCTAGGAGTCCAATTCATAGGCAGCTTCCTCTTTGATAGGACTCTTACTGTCCCAAGGATTCCACAAGCTTTGGGACTTTTGTCTCTGACTGAATTATCCATATCTTCTTGAGCAACGACCCTTATCACTTATAGCAGCCATCTTCCACCAAACTGGGACCTTGGTAACTTTGAGATAAAGTTGTTGTCTTGTACACACGTACAAGTATCAATCATGAGGAGCTGATTCTTTCTCTTGAGGTTCTTCAGAACATTTAAGCTGCTACGTTGAGGACCTGGTTCTTTGAACATTTAGTCATACTTTTTTAATCATCAAAACTTTAATACTCAACAAATTTCCCCTTTTTTATGATGACAAACTTTGTACTCAGCAGAACAAGGTAATCACATCAAAAAACCAGATAATCACAACAGTCACAATCCACAACCTTCAAACCTTATCTTCCCCATTTTGGCATCATTGAAAACACACAAAAAATGGTTAGACATTAAGCACAGATAATGTAAGATTCACGGCCATACAGGCTACATCACAGGCTTAAGAAAAGGCAAATAGACTAGGCTGATGATCCAATATAGTACAAATCAGTAAAGTAGAGCAATAGGAGACATTAAGTAGTGCCAAAAGAAGCCCAGGCCTTGTCTTCATTGTTAGAACAAAATAAACTAAGCATGCAACAAACTACTCAGACTAAGACAAAAGGAACAAAAGATAAGGCATCACTGGATTAGCAGAAGAACTAAGGACACTGGGAAGGAACAGGTTCATGGGTGAGAAGCAGAGGGGGTCAAAGCTTTCACAAGGGTGCCTATCTATTGAGCATGAGCCTCCCTATCTCTTCTGAGCTCTTCTCTAAGTTGCTTTATTTCCTATCTCAGCTCATTATTGTCTTCATGAAGCTTGGCATTCTCTTCAACAACCAACTCCAACCTCTTGCTATGATCTACAGCCCTAGATCTCTTAGGTAGAATAGCAAATCATGTGGTCCTCTAGCCTTGATTTCTTCATACCCACACTGCTTGAGGGTAAAAGCATCCAAAACGTCATTGTGGTTTCCAAACTTAAGCTCAGGTAAGGCAATGTTGAGCTTGTCAAACAACTCAGTCAACATGAAACCATATGGCATAGCATGCTTGGGTTTGGAAGTATCTGCAGCTCTTGCCATGTGCTAAATCATCGGGCTAGGAAGATTGATAGGTCTACCAGTGGCAAGCAGCTCCATCACAGCCATGTCCAACAGAGTAGCTTCATGCCTTCTCTCATATCTCTAAAGAATGTAGGAATTAACAAAATGAAACTATAATTTATGGAAGGGAGTCAAATCAGTCTTGTACACTTTCTGGGGAGCATCTAGTTCAAAATTTTGGGAGAACTTCCTGGTGACCACAATGCCAGTGTCAACATCATTGTTATGGTTGGCCACTTCTTCTTCAAGTAATTTCAAATCCTAAGGAAGAGATATTCAGAAGCATCCCCAGCTCCCCAGCATCAAACTCCATGTCAAAGCCCCTACCTTACTCTTGACTACCTTCCCATCAAATTTGAAATTTTGCATAGAACTCCACCACAATAGGAACACATATAGGGGGGAAAGCTTTGACAAACATGTGCTTCCACCCCTGTAGCTCAAGTTTTTCAACCAGTTGAGCCATCCCCTTCTTATCGTTGTTCACAAAAATACTCCCATTACGCACTTTTCTGTTCCTGAACTCTGTGAGTCGATCAACTGCAGCTGGCACATTCTTTCTTGTCTTACCTCTACTGGCCCTTGCAGAAGAGGTAGCACGTTTGGTGAATCTGGCACCCTTTTTCTTTAGTGTAGCAGACTTTGCTGGCAAGGCAGAGTCAGACTCATCTTCTCCATCCACCTCAACAACAGGTTCCACAATTGAAACCTTATTCTTTGGCTTCTTTGCACTTCTAGACTCTTTAAAAGATTTGTGCATCAACACCCTTTATTTTTACTACTTTTGAGAGGAGTTCTGGCAGGAGGAACCACTCATTTCCTTGTTGAGACTACTGACTTTGTAGCTTTCACATGGGTCTTCCTGGATTTCTTCCCTACCTCAGATAGTGGCACATCATCTTTATCACTGCTAACTTCTTCATCTCCAGTGAAAGGAGTTAATAGAGACCCAGGTTCTTGAGCCCTTGTCTCTTCACCAGTTTCTTCTGAAGGCGTTATGACATTCTTTCCAATTGTCATGGAACCTTCTGATTCCTCACTCACATTCCCCTCTTCTTCCTCACTATCTTCAGCACCTCCTTCACTCTCACTTACTTTTTCTTGATCCTTATCCTTACTTTCAAAAACCTCCTCTTCTTCACTATGATTTTCTTCTTCTACAAAATCATTAGCTTGTTCACCTGTCTTATCCTCTGTATCACTCTCCTTCTCACCTCCAGATGTTCCCTCATTCTCACTCTTTTCTTCTTCATTGGCTATGTTTTGAGCATCATATTCCTCATGACTGTTCACAGCTTTTTCTTCTTTTTCACCCCATCATCTTCCTCATCCTCAGTCCAACTAATCGAAAGGCCATCAGAAGCCTTCTTTTGCACAGGTTCTTTACTTCCTTCCCCCTCAACCACATGCTCCATAGTCGTTGTATCGACCTCCTTCTCCAGACCCCTACACCTTTTCTACAGTGAATATCTCCACTGGTGGCTTCTTACTCATGGGTGGGAGAGTATCTAGGGGTGCAACATCTATAGCAGACACCAAAAATATCTAATTTGGAAGGAGGATGTTATACCTGATCAATAGTGACTAGCATTGATTCCCCTTGAAGCACAGATTCCTTGGCTACAGTGTCACCCTGCGTAGAAGGATCAGGCACTTTCTGGATAGATTTTCTCGGAGTGGCTTTGATCTTTGTTAACTTAGAGGTATTTTTCGCAAGAAGCTCAGGTGCATGGGTAGTTGTTTTTAGAGGAGGGGATAGAGTGGAGGTAAGAATGATAGGAACGGCATAAATAGTAAGAACAGGGGATGATGTAGGTATAGTGGAGGATATCGAAGGAGAAGGAGCAGGTGTGGGTGTGGGTTCTCATGATGGCTTGCTATTTTTCTTCAATTTGGGATTCATGATTTTGGGTTATGCTTTAACCCTAGTTGATGATTTACCTTTAGAGGGTGTTTGACTAGCTTTAGGCATGGTGATCAGATGAGAGACTCGAAGAAGAGAAAGAGAGAATTAGTTCTTGAAAATTGCTTTTGATTCTTGCTTAGAGTTTGAGAGAAATAGTGAGGTCTGAGAAGCTGATCATAAAAGCCTTTTAAAGGCGTTACTCCTGATTTGACTGGAAGGGAGAAGGTGACCGAATTTGAGTTCTAACGGGAATCTTATAACGGTTACTTTGATTGTTAGAATTTTAGGAGTAATTGCTCTCTACTTGTACTAGAATTCCCCCTTACTCTTTGACTAGAAGACAATTGGAAGTGATGCTAACGAAATTAGATGTCTGAGTATAGCAATAATTTTAGGATATAAAGTTCTAGTGACTTAAGACAGTATGGAACATACCTTAGTCAAAGAACCAACTCCTTAAAAATTCCTTATTTGTTTCTGCAATAAAGCTTCAGCACTTCATATTAGTATCATGCAACACAGTTATTAGCCAGATTTTCCAAGCAAGTTTGTGAGCTTAACACAAGCACAAAGCTGAATCAAACTCATTGTACTTAAGTATCTACATCTTATTACGCCTTTTCTATCCAATTGTTGGGATTCAACTTAGTGGGAAAAGTTGATTAGACCTAGTTCTTGTCTATTCCTTTCAAAGTGATCCCTACTCAGAGCTTTAGTAAAAATATCAGCAATTTGATCTTTAGTTTTACAAAAGTTAATTGAGATATTCCCCTTTTCAACATTGTTTCTGAGAAAGTGATGTCTAATGTAAACATTCTTGGTTCTCTTGTGCTGACATGGATTCTTAGCAATGTTTATGGCACAGGTGTTATCACAGAAAATGGGAGCACAATCAACAAATATACCATAGTCCCTTAGCTATTATCTTATCCATAGCAATTGAGCACAGCAGGATGTTGCTGCCACATATTAAGCCTTAGTTGTAGATAAGGCCACTGAGTTTTGCTTCTTGGTTTCCAAGACACTAGACAAGAACCTAGAAAATGAGCTGTTCCTGAAGTGCTTTTCCTGTCAACATGAAAACCTGCATAGTCAGCATCAACATAACCAATTATATAAAGGCTATACCCTCTAGGATACCATAGATAGAGGTCAGGGGTCCCCTTGATATATCTTAGTATCCTTTTGACAGCTTTCAGGTGAGATTCCTTGGGATTTGCCAGGAATTTTGCACATAATCCCACACTAAACACTATATCAGGTCTGCTTGCTGTGAGGTACAATAGTGAGGGAATGTTGTGACTGCACATAGATTTTTAGAGATGATCTGGTTTGCACCCATGCATTTGGATCAGAGATGATATTCTTAAGAGGATGTGAGATTTAATGGTTCCATGTTTTGATCTGTACATCCAGAGAAGATTCACCTGAGAAGTGACCGAAAGGAGCAGGTTCAGTAGGTGTGGCTTCATTAGTCGGGTCAGTAGTTAGAGTAGTTCTCTCTTCTTCTTGTTCCTCATGATCATTATCAATTTCCTTGTGGTTTTCAGATCCATCTTCATTAGATTCCTTTGTATCTCCATCACCAATGAATCCTATGTCATAATCTTCATCCTGCAGACCTTTCTCAGCCAAATTGTTAGATTCATCAAAAATAACATGAATATTTTCTTCCCTACACATAGTTCTTTTATTAAAGACCTTATAGGCCTTACTATATGGAGAGTAACCCAAGAAAATTCGCTCATCACTTCTGTCATCAAACTTACCTAGAGCTTCTTTCCCATTATTATGCACAAAACATTTACACCAAAGGCTCTCAGGTGAGTGATGTTGGATTTTCTTCCTCAAAGTAACTCATTGGGAGTTTTCTCAAAAATGGGTTTGACCATGCATCTATTTAGCAGGTAGCAAGCAGTATTGATTACCTCAGCCCAGAAATTCTTAGGTAGTCCACTGGCAATCAACATGGTCCTCCCCGTGTCTTCTAAGAATCTATTGTTCTTTCTACAACCCCATATTTTTGTGGAGTTCTAGGTGCAGAGAAATTATGGTAAATTCCATGTGAGCCACAGAATTCATGGAATTTTGAATTTTCAAATTCAGTTCCATGGTCAGTTCTTATACTTAAAACAATACATCCTAGCTTATGTTGAATCATTCTAACAAATACACAAAAAACATCAAAGGTTTCATCTTTGGATCCCAAAAACAAAGTCTAGGTATACCTGGAGAAGTCATCAACAATCACAAACACATACCTCTTACCTCCTCTGTTTCTTATTCTCATTGGTCCACATAGGTCCATGTGAAGGAGTTCCAGAGGTTTAGAAGTACTAAAAAACCTTTTAGATTTAAAGGATGACCTAACATATTTCCCTCTAACACAGGCATCACATACCTTGTCAGAGGTGAACTCAACTTTAGGTAGCCAAGGATCAAGTCCTTTGGTGTCAACTTGTTGAGTTGAGAGAGTCTGGCATGTCCCAGTCTCCTATGCCATAGCAGTGGATCATCTTCCACTACACTCAAGCATGTGTGCTCACTCTGGGAAAGTGACATAATCGATATCTTGTAGACATTGTTATATCTCTTACCCTTTAACACAATTTTATCAGTATCAAGCTTAGTGACGGTGCAAATTTTAGAATAGAATTTTACCTCATTTCCTTTGTCGCACATTTGAGAGATGCTAAGAAGATTGTGTTTAAGACCTACCACATAATACACATCTTCTATAGCATGAGAGAGTGACTTTTCAACCTTGTCAATACCTGTTATCTGGCCCTTTTACCCATTTCCAAATGACACACTCCCTCCTTGGAAGGTTGTCAGTGAGAGGAAGTTTTTCTTTTCTCCAGTCATATGTCTTCAGCATCCACTCTCTAGATACCAGTCCTAATTGTTTCCTCTCCCCTTAGCCTACACCAAAATTCACAAGTTAGTTTTGGGAAACCAGACAAGCTTGGGTCCCTTTTTGTTGGAAAAATGATGAATCAGATCCCTTCTTTCCCAGAAGGGGAGAGAATTAGAAGTTATTTTCTTGTTAACCTTAATCCACTTTGTATGGACAGGAGGATTAACCTTTGGCTCCTCTTCCTTCTTCATATTTTTAGCAATACCAAAGGTGTTTCTAAACTGAGCATGAATTAAGGCAAGACAAGTGTCTCAAAGTGTCCTACTCTTCCACAATGAGTGCACATGTTATTAAAGGAAATTCCTACATACTTTAGGTCAAACTTAGGGATAGGTTTTCTGTAGCCAATTCCAAATTTGATAGAGGTACAATTTTCACTCAGCCAATTCAAGGCATCAGAAGATCTACGCCATTTGCTTAGTCTAGAGAGTTCATTAGCATTTTCTAGGTTTTCATGCAGGACTTTATTTCTACGTTCAACATCACAAAGATCATCATTAGCAATTTTTAATTCCTTTTCAACCTTATCCTGCAGATCACTCATTTTTCTTTTGCCATGTATATGAGAAGACTTCTCATTCTCAAAAGTAAGCTCAAGAACCTGGTTCTTAAGGTCTTTGACTTGTTTCTCTAAACTAGCTTTATCGGATTCACGCTCTTTGATATTAAGTTTGACACAAGAACTGTTGCTTATTAGCTTATCATTTTTAGTACTCATTTTATCTATTTTATCCATTAAGATCACAACTATGGCCATCAGTTATTTTTTGGACATAGCATGAATATTTTCTTTCAAGTCTAATATACTTACTTGGTTTGCTTCATCTTCAGTTTCTGAATCACTCATGGCCATCATTCTTATCACTTCTTCCTTTATTTTGGATTCTTCAATCGCCATCAAAACCACTTCGATGTTTTCATTCCAAAGTCAGTTTCCAAGGTCCTCCATATATCATGAACAGAGATAAAAGAGGACACTCTAAGGAGAGTGTTTCTAGACAGGCTTCTGTAGAGCAAGTCCTTTGCTTTAGCGTTTTTCTGAACTAGCTGACGATCTTCCTCATCGTATTCCTCTTCTCTTTTGTTGCGCTTGTTACCTTCACTATCCAATTTGGTTGGGAGAATTGGTCCATGACGGACAGTTACCCATAGGTCAAAGTCAGTAGCCTGAAGAAATATTTCCATACGTAGCTTCCATTCATCATAACGGTGTTCATCAAACAAAGAAGGTCTTCCAATGTGCATTCCAAGTTGTACTGGGGGTTCTGTCTTCACAGCTTGGTATTCATCAATCATAGCATAGAGACTGATAGCCTCATCCTCATTTTCTTCCTCTTGATCACTTCCACTGTCCTCTTGTGCTAGTATGCTACCAAGAATGCCTGCTTCATTGCTTCAGTAAATCCTTTGCCTAGGATATTTCCTTTGTTGGAACCATTTTCTCTCATCTTCTCCCATTTCTCTTTTTAGCTCGTTCTTTCCTTTGCTCAATTTCCCACATTGGGTAGTCCTTGACCATGTGATTTAGCTTGCCACACTTGTAGCACCCATCATAGTTAGCTTTGTCGATCTGCTTGGGCTTACTACTGGTCTCTCTCTTGGATGCACTTTTGAAATTCTTCATGAACCTCTTGAACTTGGCAAACATTACTAGATCAAGATCATCATAGTCAGATTCATCATCCTCAGACGCTTTAAGAACCAAGGCCTTATCCTTCTTTGGCTCTTCCTTGCGAAGTTTTATCTTTCTCATTTCATGAGTTCAAGTTTCCAACCAACTCATCAAGTGAGATTTTGTCCAATTCCTTGGCTTCCTAGATTGCAATGACTTTTGATTCCCATGAAGCTGGAAGGATTCTTAGAACTTTACTAACCAACTTTTCTGAAGTAAACACCTTTCCAAGTGATTTCACTTCATTGATTATTATAGTGAACCTAGTCATCATATCCTGGATGGGCTCAGACTCCTTCATGGAGAAAATCTCATAGTTTCTCATGAGTAGCTCAATCATTAATCTCTTTACTTGGTTTGTTCCTTCATGAGCAGTTTGGAGTGCATCCCATATCTGCTTCGCATTAGAGCACACAGAAAATTCTATTGTACTCATCAGGACCAAGTCCACAGATAAGGATTTTCTTAGCCTTTGCATTCTTCTCCATCATTCTGAAATCTACTGCCACAAATTCGGAGCGATCCTTAGGAACTGTTTCATTTTTTGCATTTTGTTTAGTAGGAATCAAAGGACATTGGCTCACTATGGTTCATAGTTCATAGTCATCAGCTGTCAGGAAGTCTTCCATTCTTGCTTTCCACCAACTATAATATTTTCGATTGAACAGGGGTAGCCTTATAGTTGATTGTCCTTCATTAATTCCGGGTAGAGCACTCATCTTGCTTCCAAGATCTCTCGAAGTGTTAGCAGTGTAAATGAGAGAACCCCTCTGATACCAATTGTTAGTTTGAATGCCCGTATGGATTACCAAAGAAATTGGTTCTTTACCGTGTTCCTTATGCATGAAGAAAACAAGCAATAAAATGAACATAATAATTTTTATGTGAAAAATCACCCGGCTCAAAAGGTGCAAAAACCACGACTTACCACGTAGCATTTTCAACTCCAACTCCACTAGAACAATGAGCCAAAATGTATCAATTATAAGACTGTAATTAAATACTCTCCAGTACTCCTAATACTCCTATTTGATTCACAAGTTACTCTAACTTGTAAAGCAAAACACTCACTCCAACTCACTAATTTTTTATGACACTTGATTACAACTCAATTTCCTAAAACACATTTACTAGATTGACTCGGGAAGAATACAAGGCAAGTACTCAACAGAAGTAAACCATTTATAACTCTTTAGTTGATGTGTAAAAGGATAGTTCAGAAGTCCAAAGTTGATCCTATTTAAAGCACAACTTGAGATCTTCTAGGAGTCTTATTCATAGTCAGCTTCCTCTTTGATAGGACTCCTACTGTTCCAAGGATTCCACAAGCTTTGGGACTTTTGTCTCGGACTGAATTATCTGTATCTTCTTGAGCAACGACCCTTATCACTTATAGCAGCCATATTCCACCAAACACGGACCTGGGTAACTTTGAGATAAAGTTACTGTCTTGTACGGGCGTACAAGTATCAATCATGAGGAGCCGATTCTTGCTCCTGGGGAGCTGGTTCTTCAAAACAGTTAAGTAGTTACTTTGAGGGCCTGGTTCTCAGAAAATTTAGTCATACTTTGTTAATCATCAAAACTTCAATACTCAACGACCAGAAAACCATAAACACAAGCACAAGACCACTTTCGGGACTCAAAATATAAACAACAAGAACCCATAAGTCACTTTTATCACTGCATAATTATTTCTTATCTTTTAATATTGAAGTTACACTCCAAGAGATTTTCTAGTTGAGAGATTATCTTTGTGTCGGAAATTATGTTTCCATGCTCGTAACCTTGAACGATTTGCCTTGTTACTTATATCTTGTACTCTCTCAATCTCAAATTTTTTTTTTTTTATACGTCCCTTATGAAAATATTAAATATAAAAGGTTTTTGACTATTTCACCCTTATTTATATCTTAAGATATAATTTTTTTTTCATTTAATATTTACTCATAATTGAGTTATTTGTAGTTTTCAAGAACAATTAATATTAAGGGTAAAATAGAAAGAAAAAAATTAATTTAGTCTTAAACTTCTAAAATGACAAATAATTTGATACAACTATTTTAAGAAAACAGATTATTTGAGACGGGGAGTATAAAATAAAATGGGAGTATAAAATAAAAATATATAGGGGCAATTAGATTTATTTTGTTAAAGAAGTAAAGAAATCATCAAATGATCTTCTTTCTATTGGGGTGCAAATTAACTAAGACATGCAAATATATACTTGAGCAAGTTGAAACTGAGTCATGTTCTTACATTTTTGAGCTTATGTCATCATCCTCTTCAGTTTAATTTTGTATAATTTAATCTGAAAAAGAAAGTAACACATGTGTGTTTGTCAACAGAAATATTGATTTTTCCATAAAACCCATTGAAGTAATTTTACACCTTGCGTTAAAAAAAATTGAATCTACGTAAGTGATTTGTTCCGATTGGGTATTATTGGATTATATTGAAAATATCTTAAGGAGTTAAAAACTCAATTTTGAGATGATTTGTGGAGATTTTAGGTGGTATGAATTGAAATTTGAATCAAATTCGATGTGAAAGAAGATGAGATGTGTATTCTCATGTATCATTTGCGTATTAAATATATATGCCATGTATATTTATGTATACCTATGCGTGAGATACATGTTAGATACAAGTGTCACAGAAATTTTTTTACTCGATTTTAATTATAAATTTTGACTTCAAGCCACTCCAAATCACCTTTAATTTTTCATAAATTTTATATATTGTCTTATTTATGTGTTTTCAACAAATTCTAATCATAACCCATTAAAAATGTCTAGATTTTTCTGAATGTTATGTGTAATTGATAACTTTTTTAGCTATTTTTATAAGTGGGAAGCCCCTAAAGCTAAAGTTAAAAAACTAAAATGCTCATAAAAATTTGAATCACCATTTAACCCTTCCCTTGAATATTACTCCTACAATATCTTAGTACCAAAAAAGTAAACTAACCTTTCAATTAATGATAAACTTATACCAAAATAAATTAGGTGTACGGGAACGTCGGGAAGACACAATTTATTTGCCTTCAATGATTAAGTTGTAATCTCCAGGTATTCGCTGATTTGATGGTTAGCTTTCATTTTTCAAAAATTGATTTCTTCTAAACATGTATCAGAACTAGCTTTTACAATTTCATAACCGACTTCAAGAAATAAATTACTACTCCCTCCGATTCACAATAAGTGACCAATTTGCTTTTTTATTTTGGTTCAAAATAAGTGTCCATTTATATAATCAAGAAAAAATTCAATTTGTTTTTTCCAAAATTACTTTTATGTACGTATCCCTAAAAAGTCTTTTACTCCTCACATTAAGTATGCTGCATCATTTAATTAAGGATAATTTAGTCATACTAACTATTTTATTTAGAATTTTGTATTTCCTTAATGGGTGTGCCAAAAGCAATTGGTCAATTACTGTGGATCGGAGGGAGTATTTCTTTATAACCAAGTATATTAGCGAGATTAAATGCATTAAAGTTTAAACAATGTTGATCTCTTCATTGCTATATTTATGGCAATAGAAACGGTAATAAATTAAGCTAATGAAGACAATATTGAAGAATCATAAATGGTATGTTAATTTTTTATGTAGATAGAGCTTCTGTCAATCATCCACTTTTGAGTGGTCTGATTCTGCTACATTTGTTTAACAACAATCCTCCATTCTGGTGTTTTACGACGATAATCTTTTCATGTATTTTTTAAATTGAAAGCCATCTTAGGTGGGTCTTCTTAGCTTGATGAATGGTGTTTTCATAAAGAAATCGAGAATCATCCTAGAAGATGTCCAATAAGTTTTTATTCCACAATTTTTTTTAAGTTGTGCCGCACATTTTTATTCTATAAAAAAAAGGCTGAGAAAAGGACTAAATACAGTGTTTTTTTTTTGCAGGTAAGAAGGGATGTCTAATTTTGTTTTTATTCCATATATGGAGATTTTATGAAAACAGAATTTGCGAGGTCATTTTGTTTACGTATTTCCTTTTAGTTTAATCATTAGGTATTTAAAATCATTTGGTATTT